CGTTTTCCAGTGCGCGTGTGTTATATTATAATTGTTTGTCGCGGACGAAATTAAAATTGTAATTTGCACGTATCGCTGTCCCTGTACAAATGTTTGAATTAAATTATCCACATAATAATAGCTTTGTAAAGCACTTTTAATGATAACGCGAATTGCACCATTATTGCAATTTAATCCCCATACAGCCACGGTCTCGTCGTTGTACATACTAGGAAAATGGTGGCACGGTATTTAAATATATTTATCCTATGAAAACAATTCAGTACGGTTAAGTTCGATATAGGGTTTGTTGAACATAATATTATACCGTGATACGAATATATAAGAAGTCAGTATTATTTGTAGTATTATTCTTCAAATTATTTAAATTATATTGTATAAGAGTAGTATACTGCATCATATTATAATAAATATTTAATACTTAAATGTGTAGTGTACAGAGTGATTCAGTAATCATATTTCCGCCATTTTTCTTCAATCATGCAGTTATCGAAAATCTGATTTTTACGATTAATAATTGTACTCAAAGACCATATTCTAAAACTTTTGAGATTTTTTTACTACTCAAGAAGTTCTATGTTTACTCCAACTTGATATGTTTTCAAAATAGAAACATAAATTTATGCAGTAGATTGTTTAGCGGATATTTTTTAGAAAATGTATACGGCGTATCATAATTTTGGTGTCATATAACTTTGTGTACTAAGAATACATTATTAATTATAAAATAAAATAAAATATAATATAATATAATACATTATCTATTAATGGATTTAAAAGATATGAGAACGGAGGTAATTTGAAAATTTTATCAAATAATATTATCTATTAATATTTATAATTAGTGAAAATGGTCAAATTACAATAAATACCAGATCAGATATTACATTAATTTTATATTTTATTATGCAACTATTATTAAAGACTATTATCCTTAGTATAGGCACCTAACATTTTAATATATGTAAAGCTACTCATGGTATCTACGTACTACACCTAAAAAAATATCCACTAAAGAATGTACAGTAAGAAAGAGAGGGTCTCATTAATTTAAAAAAAACACATGTTTGTTTAACAACTGTAAATTCCTTATACAAAAAAGTCTCAAAATATTAAAAAATATATTTGTTATAAGTATATTATTTTCAAATTCCAAAAATCTGAATTTGAATTAATTTATTATTAAAGGTAAATGAGAAAAATGTGGGTGAGTATGCTCGGTAAATCACCCTATATCGTTTAAAAACTGGCAAAGAAAGAAAAAATACTAACAGTATAAAAACTTCACAATTAATAATGATTTTTTTGTTGATGAATATCAAACGATTTTAGTTATAACGTATTTGTTTAGTACATAATATTTATTTGCATTCGTATCTTATTAGTTATTTAAATACTATTTTTTTAATGAAATATGAAAACACATATGATTCAACTAAATTAATATAAATCGTTAGAGAATTTGTATACTGAGAATGACTTGAAGTATGATTTCAATTATATTTCATATTCATTCACATAAATTCATTCTAAATTTCGTAGAACGTTCACGCATTCAGCTACATCATTATGATAAATGATTTGTAAAAAATTAAATGTTATTCCATGAAATCTTTATATGTAAACATTTAGAAAAATGCACAGTTCGGTAGTAATATTGATATTATCTACCCGTGTTCAAATAAAACATTTTAATCATAGATATTGAAATTAAAATATAAATACCATCATATTATTATAAACAGTAATTACTTACTAAATTATGTTTTCACTAGAATGCACACATTAAATCTGTTAAAATGATTTGTACAATTTCTCTTTAACTACCTATACATTTTAATAGTATTTAGCAATTAATACAATGACATTTTTAGCACTGTATTTGATAATTTATTAAATTTAATTATTACACAAATCGATGCAAATAATCACAAGGATGCTAAGGTCTAAGGATGAATAGCATCCTACTTTTTAATATAAGATTTGAATCCTGTGATTATCTCATATCATAATTAAAAAAATATTGGGTATGTACGACTACGAGGCAATATAGACTATCGTAATTATCCATTCTCACATCGAAAAATATATAATCATTGGTAATGGAACTATTTTAAATAACTATGATGAAACCAGGTGTACACTATACCTGCATTGTAATTACATTTCTAGTATAAATAATACTTATTAATGAATACAAATAATTTGTCTGCACACAATTTTGTAATTGATTTAAATCTATGATTTATTTTAATTTATTAATAGAGATATCAAACGACACTGATTTGTTACTGTAAACTATATTTGAAGAGCATTTGTTTCCCATAAAATCTGCTGGGTGCTTAAGCCTCCTTTATATTTTTGTATGATTTGCATCTACTACTTATTTAAAGACAAACGCTGATTTGAGGACAGTACGGTTTAAATATAATTGTTCAAACTGAGTAATATATTACTCGCCTTTCAGAAACTTTTTGATTTTAAGTCCCTTGCAATATAAAAGTCATTTCAGCATTCTACATATTATTTTCAATATTAATGGTACTGGTACATTTCTGAGAGAAAACCAATAAATGTATTATAGATGTGTATGTCCACACCATAGCCAAGAAGAAAAAACTGTATACTCTTGTAAGTATTACTCTTGTACATACGAGAAAATACTTGATGGATAAACTATTGAAGTTAAAAATTAAAATTTATATTCGATTGTATAAATGTTTGGTGTGTTCTATGGAACTTATCGAGTAACTGTACAAGAATAATTCAATTAAAAGTTTTTTTTCTTTTGTCATAGTTTATGAAAGCTTTTAACACTATTTCCAATAAACTTTCACGGATACATCAAAGGAACAAAAAAAAAAAAAAAACAATGGTACAAACGAAATACACTTTAAACAATAAATTATATTAGAAGTGCGTCAACTCTGTGTATTGCTTTTGTTTATCCGTTTTTTCTTCTGTTAAAGTCAATCATTAATTAAATACACCTTTTTTCACCACGTTGGCTACCAGACGTATTTTTAAAAACATGTCATCGTGTATCACGGTTTCTCCGTGATTCTGGCTGTGTTTTTCTCAATATACCGTAGTTTTTTCTTTGAAACCGAATTTCGTTGAAAAAATGTCATGTAAAATTGTTTTTTTAATTGCTTAAAGTTAACGAATACCTCGTTTTATATTCATATGTATAAGTGACTTTCAAGTCTTTTATTCTTACCAAAGGCAACAAATCAAAAACATTAATTGGTATTGAACAACGCTATTATTGTAACATGATGAAATATAACCATGTTTTACGGAAATATTGAGAAAATTCTTTTATTTTGGGTGGAAATATTACATTAGTTGTTATAACTTATAACACATCTGGGTTAATTTTATTCAAATTATTCCGAAACGGATTCTAATGTTATTCTATCATTTTTGGATAACACTGATTATAATGATTTTGGTAGTGAATTTAATCCTGAATCAAATGGTTCAATCGTCTAAAGTCGCTGATTTTAATTAAAATGTTGATAATCATGGAAATATATCAATAAATATTACAGCTATTGTAAAGTAAAAATGATATCTTTTTGTACATGGTTTGACTTTATTGATAGGTAGTTAAAAAAAATTAATTTGTCTTTATACTTAATATGTATTCTCAATCATGTTTTCATTGAATGAAATATTAAACTCAAACATTTGTGTTGATTAGTTTTTTAACCTAACCTTAGGTGTAGTATAAAAACAATAATAATAATAAATAATACCTTCAACAATTATTTTAATAATAGTAATATTCTTTTGATGAAGTTATTAAATCTATTTCGTATTGAAGTCTTTGTATTTATTATTATTTGCTCAATAAAATATTTAAAAAACTTAGTTTTTTTTTCATTATTTTTTATAGCAATTTTTTTATTACTGAAAAAAAATGTCATATTTAATTTTTGAAATATATGTTTATATGAAACTAGTAAAGGAAATTACATTTTTCAAAGACAGAATTGTTTTTTTAAATGAGAAACATCAGTGATGCAGCTACGTTAATCAAAGTTTGATAACATTTACTATGTATTTTGTTTATAATCATAATGATATTGAATTATTTTTGGAAATATGTACCTACATTCACGATGACTTAAATGGTGCAGAGCGAATAATGGTCTTTGAGTTACTAATACGTATGGCTTTTCCAAATAAAGGCTCATACATGAAAATTATAGAGTCGATATGACGCACCCTTGACCTAATATTAGACCTAATATTAGTCAACGTTAAATTAAAAGAAAATAAATAATTTACAGACTATTGATTTTATATTACATTTTAGTTAAATTTAAATTTAGATATAGACATTCAAAAGGTAAGCCAGTTGAATAAATTTATATTACTAATATTGGGAAAGTATAATAATAATTTCACTTTGGTCCAATAATTGTACGGCCTTGAGGTGGAAATGTACGGAATGTAATTTATTTCATGGCACTTAAAGAGTAATTTAAATATGATATTGGTTATTGTAATATATTATCAATCTTGGTTTATTCTCAGAGCAATGATTTTTATTTTACGTTTTTGGTTACAAATAAAAACTTGATTAAACACCTTTAAACCGAAATCAACGATATTACGATGAGACACCGGCTAATCATCCCAATAATAATGATACTAATTTTCTCAGACGGCGCAATCTTTTTATTGCATTTAAGTACAAACGTATCATCACAATAAAGAGAGTTATTATAAGTATTTAATAAACGTTTACGATATCGTGTCAAAAATGTCTTAAAGTGATTATCAAAAAAGTAATCAATTTAGTAGCTGGTATAATATAGTTGCAACAATAAGTTCGAAACGATTAAAATATTGAGGACAAAAAAATGCAGCACGTATATTACCAAGGCGCAGAATCTATGAAATCACAAGATTAGAAATTTTTTTTTATGCTCTTGCGTACAAATCCCGATTATATATATATATATGCATATTATTGATGTAATACTCACGAAATATGTTTATTTTCCATCCATCAGAAGAATCAACATCGACTGCTTGAGGTTGGCGACCATCGGGTTTGCCGCTGTGTCTGTTGTTAACGGTATCCGGTTTGCCGCTCTCTGCTCGGCAGCTCAAGGTGTTGTCCGAGTCTTTGATCGCTGGAGTAAATGTCAGAACACTCGTAGTTATGTTACCATCCGGACTGGTCTGTTGGACAAAATTAAATTATACTTTTTAGTTGTGTTAAGTAGGTACTCAAAAAAAGTGAGCACAATAAACAAATTCAGCATTGATGTTATAATTGCGTTGATTGTTTATAACATACATCAGATATGACGGGGCACAGCGAGGTTACGGTTTAGCGATATATTTTCTAATATATTTTGATTAACTGTAGGGTTAGGTAGGTAGGGTCGTATGGAACATTCAGCAGACCAAAAACCTTACTTCTCGGCTGACTTTGGCTCGTGAAATGGGACAAAAATTTGTATCGTCTAAAATAACAACAGCCCCTTGTTTCTGTATGTGTGCTATCTAAATGCTCAGATATCTTATCTTATTAATTATTTTACACATTATATGACGTAAATAATATATATATATATATATATAATATGTACTGATAAAAGGTCATATCTAACTTTGGAAATGGTATTAATGGGAGTGGCTTATTATTCAATGGTCTACTGTTATACACACTGTATATCTGACTTGTATATCTTATATACTTTGATTATTTTCCTTCTTGCTCCCTTTCGTAGAAATCTATTTCTATCAAGCCATAATACTATTCTCTCTCTCCGTTGATGACATGGTACTTTTCAGGACCATATACCGACGTTATAGCTAATTTCTATACGAAAAAACAGTTTTTCTTAAACTTATAGTAAATACTATAAAATAATTCACACGATTACACACGATGGCTTCCAAACTTATAGTTACATACCTACATTATAATAATATATACGTTCAATATACTGTATATTAATTTGCATTATTTTATTGTTTTCTAATATTAACAATAAAAAAAATAAAAGATTTGATGTTATCAAAAGAAAAAAAATAATATCGTATTCACAAAAGAAATGTCTGGTGGAGATGTTTTTGGTGCTCATCATATTATTATGATGAAAAAACCATCGCCGGCTTAACGTTTTTGACTTAATTAAATTTTTACAAAGACCAAAATATATAGAAAATAAAAGAGATCGTTATATTCCGACGATAAATGTTTAGCGAGCAGCACAGCAGCAGGCATCTGCAGATAAAAGACCTTAAACACACCACAACGTATATACATGTAGTGACAACGTAATAGATATAATACATTATCTCGGTAACTCTTCAACGTGTCATCACTTACCGCACACGTGTTACCAATTGGAACTAAAGGTTTCATTTATCTTCCCGCAGGTCTGTCTCCCGTGCGCACCAAACTTTTATTTCATAGTACCCATACCTATAGAATATGAACGTATTTCTGAGAGAAGTTCTCCGGTTCCACGGGGTATGGGTGAGAGGTTTGTCATTAAATAGGTACACATTAGCTACTTTGTGTACTTTTAGACGAGTCTACTCTAGTATCCCCGAACTATGACATGCTCGGTGAGGTCACGAGACTTTTCACCGTATAGATCGGGGGTGGCCAGCATGAATATGTTCACGAGCCAACTGGATAAACACTAAGATATCAAGAGTTAAAATGTTTGGAAATAAATTTTATAATTTTTATAATTCGATACTATAGAGGTATGGATTGGATTAAAAATATGACTTCCCTTCTTTTTATTTTGCACCCTAAATTTTGTCCTCCAATGCGTGAAAATCATTACGTATACCTAATAGTGTATTATTTTGAAAACTAAAATTAATAATTAAGAGTACGTCACACCAGCTATTATGTTGTATCTTTATAATATGTCGAATTTGCATTAAGCAGATTGTGCTGTTTGCTTTTATAATACCGACCTATCTACCATCAAACTTTAAGTGAATATATACTAGTTTAAAAACGCTGTATGTGTATATATGTTGTTTTTTTACGATATTTTGATGTTCATAACTTGTTTGGGACTAGATGTATTATAAAAACCAACGTATAAACGTAAATTCTTACCTTAAAGTTTGATAGCAGATTAACTCACTCTGGTATTAAACAAAATACAATCATTTGTGGTAAAAACAAAATTGGTTCTGAAGAACGAAAATTTGCTATGTTTGCTATGAGCAGACATCCTCTTAATAAAAAAAAACTTTTTGCATGGCCATAATAACTTACAGTAAAGTTTTTATCGTGTCAATACACCATTCAAGGATTGTTTAAAATGCATACCTACTTAAATATTACAATCTACGTTTTGTTTGAGAATGAGAAGAAGAATTTTCAGTTTTTGTTTTTAAAATTTAGATGATGGTCCATAGAATAAAATATTTCAATAAATTGTTTCATATTTTTAGTGAACGAGTAACAAAGAGAGAAATGGATGTACAAGGAGCAAAAAACTTCTTCCAATCCTGCGGTCAGAAAAAAAAATTAAAACGACAAAACTTAATTTATTCGTTTAAACATAACGCTGCTTTGAATATTTTATGATAAAAAAAATCTTTCTAACGACCGCAAAAAATCGTATTGTCAGCGTTTATATTTTGTTGGCCACGAGCCCGCCACAAATGCCGACTCCGATGTGATATCTCGTTATGTAATCATATACCTTTTCTGGCCTTTTTTTTCAATTTTAGTTTAGTCTCAATAGTCATAAAGTTTTCCGTTCTTAAGCGAAATGTTAACGTTTTAAATGAGATTGGGTACTCAGTTCACACACAAGATGTGCACCATTGTACATTTGCTTAAAAAATGCAAATTAAACGCATCTTTGAAATGTTTCATAAACTCGATGCTGTGAGTAATAAATAATTACATTCGAAGTCCATAATTTAAATAAAAGGTTGATGACTTTATTTTTACATAGAAATTCAGATTTTTTTTTAAAATGAGTTCAGCAACATAATTGAATGTATACTGTGTATATATTATTGTGTAAGAACAATTTTATAACCAAGGACAACCTGTGTACTGTGTAGGTATTACAATACATAAGTATACAGGACACAAAGTAAGACTTCACAATTAAAGTTATTGTGACAACGCATTGTTTGAAAGTGTTAATAAATACGTTTTATACAGTCGAAAACAAAGTAATACGTAAAAATAAAATACAACGTTTCTACTTTAATATTGTTCAGAATAATTAAATTTCACACTAACACAAACACAACACACACATATAATATATTATTTTTGTGTCTTACTACCTATGAGTTATATGTAACCACAGTTTGACATTCATACGAATCATAATCAATCTCACTTTAACGAATCAAGATGGTTCTGGAGTGGCGTATCTTTTACAATATATTATTTCATGAACGTTTCATTTGACATCGCTAAAGCTTATAATACATTCATAATATTACTGCATAATATATAATAAAATGTTTTTAATTTATTACGATATCTAATAAATAATAATGTGTAGTATTAAAGCATTAATTATTAACAACAGTATTATAGTATAAGAGAGGTCGACCAAACTTCAGAAAAGTGTGTCTACAGATGTTAGGACCAGCAAAAATCGATATCGATTCTCCAAATATATTTCATTTTCCAAAGAATCACACATTACTCGACCAATGGTTACTGGTTATGCAGCTTGTGCTCAAATTGTAAATTGAAATCTTAATCTTTCTGTCCTAATTAGTTCTAAATTGCAATGTTAAAACTTCACCACACTTGTTTGGGTATTTTTATGGTGGGAAGAAAAACAACAGTGTTTTTGATTTATTTTAAGTAAGAAGTTTTAAATTGCCTGATTTGTAAAGTCATGAATGTCAATAATATTTTAGTTGAGGTAATTTTATTTTAAAGCAGATTATGAAGAATCCCTTTCAAACTCGTGAAATCCTGCAGTGATGCGGAGATGTCATATTATATTCTGGAAGTTGCGAAAGCGACGAAGTCAGAAATCACATTCTAAATTTATGGTGACTTATTGACCAGCAACTTTAGGCCCACACCAAAGTTACCGAAGCTGTATCACAACGTCTAAGTAATTTCCCGAAATCCTTAACCGGAATTGTTTTCAAGCAAGTTGAAACCCATGAAATTAAGCGCATAGCTAGTTAATTAGATATCATTTAAGACGTACAATATAATACATGTTATATAATTTATTAAGTACCCTTCAGCGGAATCGAGACAATGGTGATTTGGTAGTACGGTAAATAGTGACGTATAATGGCTATATTTGTATGTTATAACCATTATCGTCGTAATTATATATTAGTTGATTTTTTTTCCATTGATTTTTCTAACTTTCTCATTGCTAGATGCGATACTTTTAAACTATGAAAAAACTATCGCAAAGCACGTTTTGGTACTCCCGGCTCGAGTGCAGTGCTTGTATTGATGCCCAACCGTCTACCTTTATCGTTGATAAAAAAAAAAAAAAATGAAAACATCCACTGGCAGCCAAGTAGCTGGAGTGAACGCCACTAAAAATAATAATTGATAAATATTACGGTGAATACGCGCATGATTTTCGACATTAACAATTCATTTCTCATCAAAATATACCAATATATTACATAATATATACTCATTACTAACGATTAATGATGATTTAATACGTTACAACCCCCCCCCCTCCCCCCGTTTGAAACGATCAGATCGACTTTGCCGCGTTACACACGATCTTCACAACTCCGGGTTCAATATATTTTTACAGACCGTTAAATTCTTTTGATGGTCATGCCACCTCACACCCCAGCTATCATAATGGTTGCTTACCCGCTGCAGTCGTACCAATAATGTGACGACGAAACGATTTGCCGAAAAACAATAACCAAACAATTGCCCATAATAACACGATGATATACCGGTACCGCGACATTTGTCGAGACGTTTGTCCGACGTTTTATCAGCACGACGAACGCAGAAATTTCGTGTAATTCCCATACCTGCGACGACGTCGGGATGCCACGATGCACACGTGTATATCTTATAAGTCGGTGTTATCGGATTACAGTAGTTATCGGTGTCTCCGGACGTACGGCGTACACGAGGAGCCTCGGGGTGGCGGCCCGGGACTTGCAGAGGTCGAGTCGTCGTGGTAGACCCTCTCCGCCGGCACCTATATTATATTATT